AAAAATTTATTATCAGAAAATTCTAGAAAAATACAGCAATTTTCAGCACTCAATTGCAACACAAATATCAGCAGCACTCAAAACACTGACTCCATAACATCAGACGGGTTAATGAAGTCACCAGAGACTCGGAAATCAGAAACCTATTGCAGTCACAAACAGCTCTACTACTACTCTGCGAGGCACACTACCATTTATACAGGCTTGTTGACGGAAATCCGGAAAATTCGACATGATTCTAGACAATTCCAGTAAAACTCAGTAAAAATTAGTCCTATCAATTCGAAACTCGAATTTTAATGAACTATCATTTTTTTAATAGCCAAAATGGTTGCCAAATCGACACAAATTTCGCCAAATCGAGTTATCCATAAGAAATGCGTTAGGTGTTATTTTCTCTCTAAATAGCGTTAGAATTACGTTTTACACTTGTAAATTTTAAATTAAACTGTTTATTTAGAGTCCTTTTGAGATATTTAAGCTCATAACAAAAGAAAATTCACTAAATTCTGCACATTTATGCAAAATCGTAACGCTATAAAGCATATAATTATTATACTTTAAAATCTTATAATAAAAATTCCAAAGAAAATAAAATTAAGGAGAATCACACATTATTGCCGAATTATTAATGTAAAACTAAAATTTATATTATTTTGAAGCAAAAAATGAAAGCAAGGATTTCTTGATATAACTCAGAAAAAGTTCACACATATTTTTCAGCTTAACTATAATTTCATCTTACGATACATCAACTAAATTTTGATTTAAAAATTTTAAATATTGCTAAAAAACTATTTCTTAAACTATTTATCGTTAAATTTAAAGTAATTAGAGATTAAAGTCGATAACTATTCGCATCAAAACTAATTTTCTACTTTTTGTATAGATAAATTGACAACTCAATTTTATATATTATTTTTATTATGACCACGATGGCTCGATCCTGCTGAATCATATCTTAGAGTTATTCTACGAAGGAAATGAGAGAACTAATTCAGAAGTTTTCTGGAGAAATCTTAAACAGAGGTCCTTTATCCCCCTGAGTTGTCACGCTAATCATGACAATGAATCTTATTTTTACACATTTAATCTATATGCAAATAAATGTTTCATTGTTTGCTTTTAATTCGAAACACGACAAAACCTTTATTCAATACTCAAATTCTATTCTTAAAATATTTACGAGGACATGGAATAAAATATTTTCCAAAATTTGGCACTAAACAATAGCAAACATTTACAAATCGAGCTAAGATAATAACAAAATGTTTGAAAAATTAATAGTTATAAAGAGAAACGTTTTAAATTTTTTTTCTTCTTCAAATACAGGAAATTCATTCCAGAAAATTTAAATTTATATAATTTTTTTCAACCATCAACTTATCTATTGAACTTTAAATAAAATATCAGAAAATATATATCGCATAACCCCGAATTAATTTTTTGGTTATCAATACCAATCTTTACTTATTAAAATTTTGCTTGTTTTTCGAGATCAATGTTCCCTTATATGAGGGAACATACAACATCCCTTATATAATTCTTTTAAAAATTCTGCAAGGTTAACCAGTGACTAATCATAAATAATTAACATTGTAAATATAGAATTTCAGTGAACCATATTTAAAGTGAATAAATAGTCATAAAAAAGATTTGTTTTTTCACAATTTCAATTTATTCTACACATTCAAAATATTTATTCCCTAAAATTTGAATGTCGATAGTTTCATTCGACCATCAACTAATTCATTGAACTTTCATTAAAATATCAGGATCTATATCGTACTTCCATGATATTCACGAGTCGCAATATTTATCTTTTTCTTATCAATATCAATCTTTACTTATCAAAATGTTTCTAGTTTAAATAAAGCTCACTTATACGAAGTTATAAATTTCGAATTCTACATTGTTAACCAGTGACTAATCATAAATAATTAACATTGTAAATATAGAATTTCAGTGAACCATATTTAAAATGAATAAATGGTCATAAAGAAGTTTTGCTTTTAAATATATATCATTTACTTTCTACATTCAGAATATTTATTTTCCGAAATTTGAATATCAATAATTCCATTTGACCATTAACTAATCTATTGAACTTTCATTAAAATGTCAAGATCTATATCCCATTTTCCCAATGTCCACGAATAATAATATTTATCTTTTCCTTATCAATCCCCATCTTTACTTATTAAAATGTTTCATGTTTGAATATCGAGATCAATGCTCACTTATACGAGGTCATAAATTTCGGATTCTACACTGATAAAAAGTGATTAATTCGTTGCTAACACAGATCCAATCGCACCTATCGATTCTTTCCGGAAAATCGTTGCGTGATTTACTACTCCAATAATTAATCTCATCATCGTTTTTCCCATTTGTCATTGCCTCTGAAGCGTTCTTAAAATTTGAATAATTAGAGACGAGTGCGTGTCTTTCGGAAATTAGAAACTCCTAAGAAGTTGCATGGATGTATACGTTTATTGAATTTAACCGCACTCTATTTAAAATCAATTTGTATGAATACAAATTGAAGTATTTATATTAAAAGCTGCTTAATTAAATTATACGCTTTTATTCGGGGGAATTAAGTGGTAAATTATTGAAAAGTTTTCATCGGTGTAAAGTACCTTCGAGCTTTAATGTGAATTGAAAATTAAACCGGGAAATTTGGCTTATGAATATTTTCATTCTTATTAAAAATATGAATATTTAAAAAAGAAAAGAATATGACATTGATGTAAAAGATTTGAAATATGAGCAATGTTTTGAACTTAAAAATATACTTCAAAACTAAGTCTGTATTCACTGCTTTTTGGGAAAAAATCTGGTACAATTACTATACTGCATAGTAAGGACATTTCTAGTAAATAAAACCAGAAGTCCAGCAATAAAAACCAAAATGCACGGAATTTAAGCAATTAAATTTCGTAATTCGTTCCGTTCATATGGTAACAGATTAACAGAATTATATTTTTCACAATTATAGTTAATGTTACAATACTTTTAATAAATTAAAAGTAAATATAACCGAATAAATTGTTTTTATGCCATGCTCTAGTATATATTGATTAAATTACCAAACTTTTCTCATTTTATAAATTTTTTCATATTATAACATTTTTATTTTATTGTTAATTTTACCTAAATCATTACCAAAGAGCTTCGAAAATCTGTCGAGCTTTCTGGTGCTCCCATAGAGTCAGAAACACGGTAAGTTTTACGATATTCTGGTATTTTTGATCATATTTTTTTCTTAGTGCTTAATTTAAAATCAATAATTTGTTATTTTTTCATTTTTATAAGAAGATTTTTAAATTTTTGACAATTAAAAAGAAAAACAAAATTTGTTTACTTCTTCCCTTTTGGCATTTAAAATATATACTACTTAAGTTGATACTATTTATAATTGCAAACTTAATAAAGTTCAGTTAGATAAGAGAAATATTGTTTTTCATAATAATATTTACTATTTTAAATCTTACAAAAATTATAAGAAATTAAAAAATATCTAACCTGTACTTATTCCCTTTATAGTAAATAAGAAATTGTGCTTCATAATTTATAAAAAAATTCGATTCTAGACTTGCCATATAAATTCTACATGAATATACGGTTTTCAGTACAAAAACGATATGTTACGTACAAAATAGTTTAACATGTATGCAGTCTTAAAACTAAAAATAAATGAAGAAAACTGGAGGTTCCTATTAAATTTAAAATTATTACTTTATTAACAGGAAACGTTGAAAATTGTTTCGGAAATTTATTTTTAAAAAATATCGAAGAACCTCAGGCACGTGATTTTCCAGGTGCTTCAAAAAAAAGTATTTTTTAGATTTAATATATTATGAATTATATAAAATTTCTGTCATCTCTTGAATGGTGAAAGGCGTATGCTTTTAATATTTAACAATTATGAAAGCTCTAATTAAAATAACGTTTTTCCGAATCTTGAGAGGTCGTTAAAGAGTGGGAAAAGCTTTTCATGGCAAATTCTTTTTCAAAATCAATGAGAAATTAGGAAATTATCAAAAAAAATGTGTTCAAATGAAACAATAGTAAACTATGAAGTTTGAATTACTGAAAAACTTTTTCAAAATATCAAATAGCAAACATGTTATGACAGGAATGCTTTTCTCCATAACAGTACATTTATGACAAGAATACTTAACCACTCCATAACAGCAAACATATTATGACAGGATTACTTTTCCTCTCCATAACAGCAAACATATTACGATAGGATTACTTCGCTTCTCTATAACAGCAAGCATACTATGTATGGATTAATTTGTTTCTACATAATGGCAAACATATTAAAACAGAACTGCTTTTCCTCTCCATAACAGCAAACATATTATGACAGGATTGCGTTGTCTCTCTCCATAACTGCAAACATATTATGACAGGATAACTTTGTCTCTCCATAACAGCAAACATATTATAACAGGATTACTTTGCCTCTCCATAACATCAAACATATTATGACAGGATTGCGTTGTCTCTCTCCACAACTGCAAACATATTATGACATGATTACTTTGTCTCTCCATAACAGCAAACATATTAAAACAGAATTACTTTGCCTCTCCATAACATCAAACATATTATGACAGGATTGCGTTGTCTCTCTCCACAACTGCAAACATATTATGACATGATTACTTTGTCTCTCCATAACAGCAGACATATTATAACAGGATTACTTTGTCTTTCCATAATATGAAACATATTAGGACAAGATTATTTTACTTTTCCATTACAGCAAATTCTACCATAATAATCTGCTTGCAGTTTAATATTTTGAAAAGAAATCAGTATTTTAAACTTTAAAGCTTACTATCAGTTTATCTAAAATCATTCTTTTTCTATACTTTAAATTACAAATGTGTTTTAAGGAGAAATTGTCAAGCTTAGTTTCTCCCGTAGTATAGCTTCGTCTTAATGCAATGCTATATAATGGAGAGAAAAAATCTTTGTCTTACCTGCACTAACTGCACTTGTAACGCTGAAGTAACCAAATGGAAGGACCAGCAACAGAGAGAGCATCAACATCTCCTTAAATAAAAAAATATTACTTAAGTAAATAAATCTCACATATTATAATAATAGATCCTATAGAAATTATTTTCTTTTAAATCCTAAAAAGGACTATCAATTCAAATTGAAATATCATTTAATGCAAGTGTTCTTAGGCGTGTTTAATGATGATCCAATATCAGCAACTTAATCACTTTCTCGAACCATAGCTGTTTTTAAAATTAAAACTTTATTATCAGAAACTTTATAATCGACAAAGTTATAACATTATAATCGATACAGTTATTAAATTAATATATTTATAATCGATAACTTTATTATCGCATTATTTTCTGTCTTTAAAATTGACAGAACCGGTCTATGTAGTGGGAAACCTTATGGAAAACGTTGTATTTTCATTTGCTTGACTTAGAAAGTCTGACAAACTTAGTATAAATATTAGTATACAAGCTTCTTTTCTTAAAGAATGAATATAGACATGCTGAATTTTTTTTTAAAACGTTTGCTGCAAACCTTTGTTTACCTCTTATTTTCATTCTATCTTTGTCTAAGCTCTAAAATGCAACATTTCTTTGTTTTAAAAACTTAAGGAAATGGCCAACCTTCATTTTTAAAGTGTTAAAGAAAATACATAAACACCTGTTCAAATAAATATTGTTTCAGCGATGGTCAAAAAATCTAAAATTTACCTTGAAAAGAGGAATTTATTATCGGTTATCCAACGTTTTTCTACTCTTTATTGGCAATAAATGATTAATTCTCGATTTCAGAAGGTTTTTCAAGAGTTTTTTGTAAAGGCAAATTGAATCTCGATAAAAAAAAGGGCTGTATATGCAAGCTTAATGTAAAGACTTAATTAAGCGAGAACTAATGCAGTAAAATTTAACATTGATTCAAGCTTGGATGGTCTACTTTTTAATAAGTTATAAGCCTTGTTAGGATTTTGTGAGAAAGGTTGTTGCTGACCTTAAAATCAACCATACAGGGAGTGAATTAGTTGGCACATAGTAAAATGATGGCATTAAATTTTTTTTTTGTTAATTACGCCAAATACCTACACTATCTATTTTAAATCTACACCAATTTCTTTATTCATACATCTAGTAAAATTTAAAACGCTTTAATGTTTTGGTAGATTAGTGGATGAGAATATTAAAATATAATTATAAAGATAAGGAATTTACACCTTAGTCGCTAGTTTATTATTGGATAAGTCTAGGAGAGATGCCTATAGTTTGTAAAAATAGCAATAAAAGTTCCAAAACTAGAGATGCAAGAAATGTTAATGCATACTTTAAATTCTCATATATGTACTCAATCTATTTTGAGCAAAAAAATCAGGAAATATTTGAAACAAGATATGAAAAAAAATGTTTGAAAATAAACTTGCAGGCGGTCATCTCTTCTTAATATCGAGAGACAGTTTTCTGTCCAATATAAAGGAAAAATGAAGGTAAATTATGAAAAAACACATTTCTTGCACTTAAACAGCTAACATTTCATGCAGCTATTTTTTTAGAATGAATTTTATCATGGAAAATAAGCAAGCATTATCTAATAAGCAAAATCTAATGTACAGATTTAATTCATCGCTTTCGAAAAATTTTCAACGCATTTTCGGGAAAGGCTTAAAGTTTGTTAGCCACTTAATTCACCTTTCAAATCTAATCCAATAATCTTATTTATTGAGGTAATGTACTCTTCTCTACAACCAAGATACAAGTATTCAAGGGTGAACACTTTTTGTGCTTAGTTATAAAATTCGTTTACCAAAAGATAATTTCATACAAAAAATAATTTTAGTGAGTATTTATTATTTTATTACTTATACATTTTTTTAAATTTTATTAATTGAAATATCATCCTCACTAATTGATAAGTATATTTGATGTCTACCCCTTAAGCCATTAAAATTGAGTCCTAGAGCGTGAAGATCCGATCATTAGATTAAAAATTATTCAGGGTGGTCAGTTTTTTTTTTTTTTTTTTTTTTTTTTTTTTTTTTTTGCGCGTACTGTACAATTTCACAAATAAGTTATGTATACCTTTATTAAATAAATAATCCTGTTAAACTGCATCTGTTTCAATCTATTGACAAATTTTGGAGATATTTAGATTGACCATCTCTCTTCTATGGTCATTTAACTCAGACTTATCACGTATTGTTTTCTGAAATAAATCTCGATCTCTTCTCGAATATCACCGTGACCCAATTTAATCCACAAGTGTACAAATTAAAAAAATAGAGAATTACACAGCAATACGTTTCAAAGTTTTTGCTGATGTTATTTTAAATGCTTCAAGCTCCTGCTTGCTTTTAACATGATGAAACGAAACAAAAAATAAAGCAAATAAGTAGGTACAACTAGGTATAAAAACCAGCTCGTTGTATCTGAAATCGAAACAATTGCTTAGATTGTTGAACAGCTAAACATAAAACATACTAAAATATAAATAATTGCACAGAAAATACGTTTTAAAGTTTTTGCTGATGTTACTTTAAATGTTTCAAGCTCCTGTTTGCTTTAAACGTGATGAAACGAAACAAAAAAATAAAGCAAATAAGTAGGTACAACTAGGTATAAAAACCAGCTCGTTGTATCTGAAATCGAAACAATTGCTTAGATTGTTAAACAGCTAAACATAAAACATACTAAAATATAAATAATTGCACAGAAAATACGTTTTAAAGTTTTTGCTGATGTTACTTTAAATGTTTCAAGCTCCTGTTTGCTTTAAACGTGATGAAACGAAACAAAAAAATAAAGCAAATAAGTAGGTACAACTAGGTATAAAAACCAGCTCGTTGTATCTGAAATCGAAACAATTGCTTAGATTGTTAAACAGCTAAACATAAAACATACTAAAATATAAATAATTGCACAGAAAATACGTTTTAAAGTTTTTGCTGATGTTACTTTAAATGTTTCAAGCTCCTGTTTGCTTTAAACGTGATGAAACGAAACAAAAAAATAAAGCAAATAAGTAGGTACAACTAGGTATAAAAACCAGCTCGTTGTATCTGAAATCGAAACAATTGCTTAGATTGTTAAACAGCTAAACATAAAACATACTAAAATATAAATAATTGCACAGAAAATACGTTTTAAAGTTTTTGCTGATGTTACTTTAAATGTTTCAAGCTCCTGTTTGCTTTAAACGTGATGAAACGAAACAAAAAAATAAAGCAAATAAGTAGGTACAACTAGGTATAAAAACCAGCTCGTTGTATCTGAAATCGAAACAATTGCTTAGATTGTTAAACAGCTAAACATAAAACATACTAAAATATAAATAATTGCACAGAAAATACGTTTTAAAGTTTTTGCTGATGTTACTTTAAATGTTTCAAGCTCCTGTTTGCTTTAAACGTGATGAAACGAAACAAAAAAATAAAGCAAATAAGTAGGTACAACTAGGTATAAAAACCAGCTCGTTGTATCTGAAATCGAAACAATTGCTTAGATTGTTAAACAGCTAAACATAAAACATACTAAAATATAAATAATTGCACAGAAAATACGTTTTAAAGTTTTTGCTGATGTTACTTTAAATGTTTCAAGCTCCTGTTTGCTTTAAACGTGATGAAACGAAACAAAAAAATAAAGCAAATAAGTAGGTACAACTAGGTATAAAAACCAGCTCGTTGTATCTGAAATCGAAACAATTGCTTAGATTGTTAAACAGCTAAACATAAAACATACTAAAATATAAATAATTGCACAGAAAATACGTTTTAAAGTTTTTGCTGATGTTACTTTAAATGTTTCAAGCTCCTGTTTGCTTTAAACGTGATGAAACGAAACAAAAAAANTCGGAACTTCAGTGTTCAAAAAAGTATACAAAAGCTAGACGTTAAGAACGTATCCAATGAGCGAGCAAAGCGAGCATCGGATTGCGAAGCAATCCGAAATGAACTGCGAAAGCAGCTCCGGGGGTTGGTGAGCGTCAGCGAGCAAGGGGCGGAGCCTCCTAATTTAGTAATAAATAGCTATTTGAATTTTGGGCAAGAGGATGATTTTTCTGCACTGAAAACAAGGGCATTTTGCATTCTATTAATATTTTCCATATCCTACCTTTGTGAAACTGGATTTTCTGCTGTGGCTTCTTTGAAGACAAAATATAGATCACGGCTAAATAAAGAAACAGAACTGAGAGTGTCTATTTCTAATATTAAACCTCACCTCAAAAATTTTTGTTCTGCAAGACAGGCCCAAGGAAGTCACTAAATTTTTTTTTTTTTTAAATTTAGTATGTTTTGATTAAGTAAGGTGGGTAAGCCAAAGGCGGCCAGTGCTCCTAACGTAGCCCACCCCGAAGTAAAATTAAATTTATTTTGAATCATAAGATGTCCCTGCTGCATTGTAAATCTTGCATCTGAGGAGCACGAGGCTTAATTGGAAGATATTTCCTTGAATGGCATCCATTGTATGAAGTGATTTAATTTTTGCAGTTGTCGTTCTAATTTCCGGGTGAGAAGATATTGCAATTTATGTGTGTTTAAATTCTTAGAACTTTGAGTTATGATATGTTTTCTGAAAATTTATTTCTTTTTCTTTAACCACATTACTTTAATTCGAATTAATCTATCAGATTAATAGTTTTAAGTCGTGCAAATGGTGAAAGAGACCATATGCATGTTCCCAAGGTGGCCCGACACCGGTGCCACCTTGGGGACACGTGGGCCACCTTCGGAAACAAACGTGAAATCTATAAAAGTGTTAATTATAAATCATTAAGTAGCATATTATTTCTCAAAAAGGAATGATTGAATTAAATGTCAATTGATTTAATTTATTTTAAGCAAATGTGAAACTTTGGTATTTTTTAAATTTTTATAATATTTTGACTTTCTTTGCACTTTAGTAGAGTTTGCGATATTTTGTTTCAAGTTTTTTGTTTTGTTTGCATTTTAAAGTTATTTTTCAGGTGTTTTTTTTATTTTTGTGGTAGTTATGAGTATTTTCGTGGTCGATTCTGGTATTTTCTTGTAAATTTGGGTATTTTTATACTAGTTA